GGGCCACAAGCCCCGTCCTGGACCACCCCCTGCCACGCGCACCCCGCACCGGGGAACACCGGACACTGGTGATGAGGATGGGCTCAGTATGAGCAAGTACCTGCTGGGCGCCTTGGCACTGGTGGCTGTGGGGGTGCTGATCATCACTGGTGAGTGGGGATCCTGGTGGCTGGGGGCCCAGGGACAGTGTGGGGTCCAGACATCCCCCTTGTTGTGCCCTTCTCTCCCCAGGTGGCATCTACGACCCAGGGGATGGTGAGTATGTGGGACTGTCCCACCTGGGCAGGGGGACATCCTGCAGCAGCCTGGACGCTCGGACCCACATCCTCCTCCACAGGCCCTGTGGAAAGTGTGGGGAGCTGGGACTTGGCTGCTGGGGAGCAGGAGTCGCTGCTATCCGCTGACAGCAATGTAAGGAGGGGTTCTGAGCAGGGCTGAGTCAGGGTAGGGGATGTCCCAAGCGCCCCCAGGCCTCCCAAACTTCCTGTCTCCCAGGACTCGCAGCAGAAGCCACCTCTGCCAGATGCTGGGGACCCCCAGAGCATGCAGTCCATGAGCCAACTCCTGGACAAGCTGGCCAAGGAAAACCAGGAGATCCGGCTCATGCAGGCGGAGCTGCAGGTGGGTGCTTGATGTCCTGGTGTTGTGTCCCAGTGGTGCTCTGCCACTCCCACCTCTCTCATGGCCCCCTCCCCCTGCTCCAGGCGCATAAGGATGAGCTGCAGGCACTGCTGCAGAGGAGCGAGGGCGAGGCGGCGGCAGCAGGGGCGCAGCAGCAGGGCCTGGCCAAGGAGAACGCGCGGCTGCGCGCGGCTCTGGAGCGGGAGGTCAGTGCGCTGCGGGACGCCCGGGCCGAGCTGCAGCGCCTGCAGGCCACAGGGACACCGAGCAGCCCCAGGGGGCCAGCAGCAGAGCAGCCCCGTGCCACAGGTGTCCCAGGGCACGGCAAGGCCACGGCACGGTGGCACGGTGAGCTGGATGTGCTGCGTCGGGAGCTGGCGGACACCCTGGAGCGCGTGCGGGGCTCTGGGGATCTCCCGGGGCTTGTGGAGGAACTCAGCACCCTGGAGCAGCGCCTGGGCCAGGTGCTAGAGGCGGAGGGGACTGGGTCCTTCCCCACACCCCGGAAGAAGCCGTTCAAGGTGGAGAAGGAGAGCAAGTGGCACAAGCAGCATGGCACCAGGGGGGCCCCCCACGAGTGGGAGAGGAGAGAGCATGGCAAACCCCAGGGGCACAGGAAGGATCCCCGGCCCCCTCGGGAACACAAACCAGGCAAAGGCTGGGGGAAACCATCTCACAGCCACCCCCAGCAAGGCTCCCGTGAGCTGCCCCTGCTCAAGCGGTACCGGGCACCGCAGGGCTGCTCAGGGGTGGCCGACTGTGCCCACAAGGAGGGCCGGGAGGCGCTGGGGGCTGTGCTGGAGCCAGTGCAGAAGGTGCAGTTCCTGCGGCTGCTGGAGAGCTTCATGGGGCGCCTGGGCTTGGGGGGACACTTTGGGAGGCTGGCAGCGCGGCTGGATGGGGTCTTTGGGGCTGACGGGGTCTTTGCCCACGACCGCCTGCGGTTCGTCGACTTTGTGGATGATGTGGAAGAGCTGCTGGAGGAGATGGCGTGGCAGGAGGGGGGCGACAAGAAAGCAGCCGACGGTTTCGAGGAGTACATGCTGCGGCACTACAGCGGGTGAGCTGGGGCAGGTGGTGTCGGGGGTCCTAGGGGATCTCCCCCCTTAGCACCCTATCCCACCTCCCCTTCTCTTGCAGCACCTCTGGGAAAGAGTGGGGCCGGAGAGCCCCGCAGCACCACAGCAGGGCGGGGTAGAGCCAGGGGACAGCACCGTATTGTCCCAGATGGCTCCTCACCACAAGCCTTCAACCACGCAAGGGCCCCCCATAGGCTGTTTTTGGGGGGGCTGGGAGCTACCGTTGCACCTTGTAGGGCCGAGTAGGGCCAGGTCCCTGACCGAATGCACTGTGTGATGCTTGACTGCCACCATGAATAAAGTCACCGCTGGGCAGAGCTGTGTGGGTGTGGGGAAAAAAGGGGTGCTGGGGGAAGGGAAAGAGAAAGTGCTGAGAGAAGAGGGTCCTGGGGAAAGAGGGGTTTAGAGGAGGAATAGGGAGAGTGAGGAGGAAAGGAGGGAGCAGAGGGGAATGGGGTGCTGTGGGGTGAAGAAGGGGTGCTGGGAGGGAAGAGAAGAGTGCAGAGGGGAAGAAGTGGTGCGGGGGGTGGGGGGGGAAGAGGGAGTGCAGATGAAAAGACAGGGCAGAGGGGAATAGGCGGTGTTGGAGCAGAAGGGGGTTGCTGGGGGGGAAGAGAGGGTGTTGGGGGAAGCTGGGGAAATGGGGGTGCTGGGAGGAAAGAGGGAGCTTTGGGGAAACAAGGTACTGGGGAAAGGGGGGTTCAGAGGAGAATGGGGTGTGTGAGGAGGAAATGGGGAAAGGGAGGGCACAGGGGGCAGAGGGGTGCTGGTGGTGCGGGATGCTCTGAGGGGCGGGGCAGAGCCCGCCGTGTCCCGGGGGGGTTTGCGGGGCCTCCTCGGTGCCGTGCCGGCCCCGCCCGGCAGGGGGGGCCGTGGGGCGGGCGGAGTCACCGGGGCCGGGGCGGGCCCGGGGCGGGTCCGGGCGCCGATGGCGGCGCCGCGCGCGGTGCTGCTGCTGAGCGGGAAGAGGAAATCGGGCAAGGATTTCGTGGCCGAGGAGCTGCGGAGCCGGTACCGGGCGGAGCCGGGGGCGGGACCGGTACGGGGGCATGGAGAGATTTGGCTCCGCTCGGCCGGTGCCAGTCCCGCTGACCCCTCTCCCGCAGGCTGGGCCCCGACGTCTGCACCATCCTGCGCCTCTCCGGGCCCCTCAAGGAGCAGTACGCGAAGGTACCGCGTCCCTGCACGCTCCGAGCCGCGTCACGCCCCCCCGAGCTATGCCAGAACACTCCTTGCCGTGCTGTGCCGTCCAACACCGTGCCGAGCTGTGCCGTGCTGCACCACGCTGTGGCCCTCCCCACCATGCCGTGCCATGCCGTGCCATGCCACACTGATGTGTGCCAGGGCACGCGCTGTGCCGTGCCGTGCCGTGCCGTGCCGTACCGTGCCTTGCCATGTGCGTGCCACACCACACCGTGCCGAGCTGTGCCGTGCCCTGCCACGCCATGCTGTGCCACGCGATGCAACACTTTGCCACGCTGTGCTGGATTGCGCCACGCCGCGCCGAGCCGTGTCAGGACATGCCGTGCCACGCTGTGCCGTCCCATGCTCACGCCATGTCACACTGTGCCGTACTGAGCGGTGCTGACCATGGCATATCACACCTGCCCTTGCTGTGCCATGCCATGTCGTGCCGTGCTCACTGACCCTTCTCTTCCTGCAGGAGCATGGCCTCGACTTCCAGCGGCTCCTGGATGCCAGTGCCTACAAGGAGACATTCCGGCAGGACATGATCCGCTGGGGCGAGGAGAAGCGCCGCGCCGACCCTGGCTTCTTCTGCCGGGCAGCAGTGGAGGGGGCGCTGCATCCGGTGTGGGTGAGCTGCTGGGGGGGGATGAGGGGTGCCTGGGAGGCGCAGGGTGGGCGCTGAGGGAGCCCCCGTGCAGGTGGTGAGTGACACACGGCGCCTCTCGGACGTGGAGTGGTTCCGGGACGTCTATGGGGACGTGGTGCAGACCGTCCGGGTGGTGGCTACTGAGGAGACAAGGAAGAGAAGGAACTGGGTCTTTGTCACTGGTGAGCAAGTGAGGGGCAACTTCCCCGAGCACAGTACCAGAAGCAGGGGTTGCCCAACGGGCATGGATCTGCTGCCTCCACTGCCGTTCCTTGGCAGTGGGAGCCAGAGGCTTTGGATCAAGCCCCCAGTTCTGGGTGGGGAGGCCACAGTGGGGGGGACAGATGGACAGATTGTGACTGTCCTCGGGGCCTCCCCGGGCTCTGCTGCTGCCAGGGGTGGACGATGCCGAGTCTGAGTGTGGCCTGGACCAGGGAGTGGCCTTCGACTGGGTGATCACCAACGACGGGGATGAGCTGGCCTTGGGTGAGCAGCTGGAGACGCTGCTGCAGTCACTCCACAGAAGCCTATAGCTCCATGTCCCTCCACTGAGGCTTGGGGACCACACACCCCCCTCCCCAGCCCCCCAGCATCCCCCCCCTCCACCTCTTGCCAGCACTTCCTGTTCTGGAATAAAGCTCCGACATGGAGAACCACTGCCACGCTGGGGCCGTGTCTCATTTCTGGGGGAGGGACACGTAGGCAGTCCCCCTCACCCCTGCCATGAATTCACCAGCTTTTGAGGGGCAGAGGTGCTTACTTCTTCCTGGGCAGGGGGGTCACCAGCTGGATGCTTCGTGGTGTCTTCTAATACGGCTTCCAGCAGACAATTCCCTAGGGATTATTTCTGCTTCCCAAGCTCCTACCCAGCTCCTCTCCTGCAACAGCTGGGCACGGCCGGGGGGGTTCCTGGGCGGGCTATGGGGTTGTAGAGGGAGATTAGGGCCCTTTATATACATCTATAGCTACATATTCCATACTCTGGGTCTACCATCACCCTGACTCCCGCCTTGGGGACATGCTGGGGCACACACACACACACCCCCCACACCCCCCTGCAATCAATGGCGTGACCCACCCCCAGGATGGAAGCACACACTCCAGCTGCTGCTTGTAATCTCCAGCCTCTGTAAGGGGATTAGGGGGTTTTATACAAGGGGCGGGGGGATGCCCGTGGGGTAACCCAGTGGGTAAAACAGGTGAGGGGTCGTTTGGGACTTGTGAGTCGGGGCGCACCGATCCCGGCACCCGGTGCAACCCGATGCACTACAAGTCCCGAACGACCCCGCAAAGATGCAGGAACCGAGGGTGTGATGAGGGGGGGAGATACAAAGCGGGGAGCGGGCGGGGATGATGTCAGCCTGCGGGGAGCCCCAGCGTGGCCAATGGCGCTGCGGGGCCGGGCCAGCGGCAGCGGCGGGGGCGGTGGCGGCGGCGATAGCGGAGAGCGCACGGCGCCCATTCATGATCCAGCGAACGGGGCCGGTGACCAGTAAAGCGGGACCGGTGCCCTGTAAAGCGGCGCCGGTACCGCCGTTATGGAGACGTCGGGGCATCTCCACGATTCGGGCGTGGGGGACTTGGAGGAGGATGGTCGGTGTCCCTGCCCGCTACCGGGGGATGAACGGTCACCGCCGCCGCCCTCCGCGCTGCCGCCGCTTCAACACAGCCTGTTGCACTCCTCGCCCGGGTCGTTACGGGCCCCTCCTCCTCCTCCCGCCGCCCCCGCCGCCCTCCACCCTTCCTCCCGCCACGGCAGCCAGCTCAACCTCGGCGACCACCCAGCGGGCTCTGGGGTGGCGAGTGGCAAACATCGGCAGCCCAGCCCCTTGGTCCATCGGCGGGACAGCAACCCCTTCACCGAGATTGCCATGAGCTCCTGCAAGTACAGCGGAGGAGTGATGAAGCCCCTCAGCCGGCTCAGCGCATCCCGACGGAACCTAATCGAGGCTGAGCCAGAGGCACAACCCCTGCAGCTCTTCGGTGCCGGTGGACCTCCGGAGATCGTTGTCTCGCGTGAGGACAACCACGCACCCACCACCCGCCGTCCCACCCGCCCGCCCGCCCGCCCGGCCCCCACCACCTTTGCCAAGGGGCCCAAGCGCAAGGCGCAAAACATCGGCTACCGGCTCGGGCACCGCCGGGCGCTCTTCGAGAAGAGGAAGCGCCTCAGTGACTACGCGCTCATCTTCGGCATGTTCGGCATCGTTGTCATGGTCATCGAGACCGAGCTCTCCTGGGGGCTCTACTCCAAGGTACCAATGGGGGCAGGGGGCTGTGTGTGGGGCTGGTGGCACCAGACGGGGGCTGGTGGGGTAAGCATGGAGCTGTTTGCCCCATCCAGCGTCCCACGGGATAAACACGGAGCCATTTGGCCCAGGTGGTGTCCCATAGGGTAGACGTGGAGCTGTTTGGCCCATCCAGAGTGCAACAGGGTCGGACAGGCTGGCGGGGCACTGGTGGGGTGTCCCCAGGGCCTTAGTGATGCCGCAGCCACAGGTGCTGGACAGGCAGCCACAGGACCGGGGGCTGCCAGGGCTGTGTGCCAGCGGGTGCTGTGCCAAGTCCTGCCCCACGCACCCGCAGGGACGGGCACCGACCCACCGAGGTCTGCGGTGCCTGTTGCTGCCATGGTCAGGTGCTCCTCGAAGCGCCCTTGGTGGTGCATCAGAGCACCCCATCCCTCCTCCTCCTCCTCCTCCACACCCCTTCCTTCCATTTTTTTTTTCCTTCTTTTTTTGCAGGACAGTGTCTTTTATTTATAATTCTCCCCCACACGTCCCTTCCAGCTCCTGCTCCCGGGCTGCGCTGGTTGGCAGCGATATGAATAACTCTTTGTATAGACATCTGTCATGTTATTTATACCTATCCAGAGAGGGGAAGGCACCCGCACCAGCACCCATGGGCGTCAGAGGGACGGTGCTGCCGAGGGGGCTGGGGGGCAGCCAGCGGGGGTCCCTGTGCCACAGTGCCACCAGTGGAGGGGAAGGAGCAAGGTGGGAAGGGGGTGCTCACCACTTCCTGCCATTATCCAGCCTGGGCAAGTGGGGAGGGCAGTGTGGGTGGAAGAGGTGGAGGAAGGGAGGGACGTGGCTGGGGGTCCCATGGGTGTGGGGGACCCTGCTGCCTCCCCACAGAGCTGCCTGGTGGGGGGGCTCCTGAGTGCCGTCTGTCCATGGCTGACGGTGCCAGTGGGCGTGTGGGGGCTGCAGGCAGCAGTTCCACTGCTCTGTCCGAGGCAGTGGGAGGCCTTGGTGCCAAACTGGCATCCCCAGTTCCCCTGCTGAGGGAGAAGGATGCTTCACTGCCAGAGCATTTTCCTAGTGGTTCCCACTCTCCTTCGGTGGGAGCAAGGCCAAACCACTGTCCCCCACCTGTGCCTGCTACCTGTTGAGCCGCGGCTGCCCTTGCAGGCTCCGTGTGCCTGCTTGCCTGGCATGGGGGAACTGCCCACCCTCCCCAGGCTGCCAGCAGCACCCCTGCCACGCTGGCCCCGGCACGCTGGGCTGCTTTGTCAGCTGGGGAAGACCCTGTGAGTCAGCGCTTGCCACCATGCAGCAGCTGTGACCTGCTGCTGCACCCCTGCCCCGCTGTGATGTGAACGCTTGTGCTGACAAGCACAGGGTGCAGGGGAGTCCCCGAACCCTGGCCTCCCCAGGCCCTTGGCCAGATCTGCAGCAGCGGGGCTGCTGGGTATAAATTTATCCCCATCAGCTCCCGCTGGGAAACCAGAACTCGCTGGCAGGGACACAACCAGGAGCATGGGAGCACCTCTATAGGGTCAGGACCAGCTGCTGGTGTGCAGACTGGGATGTCGGTGCTGCTGGCTCTGGCCAAGCTCCGACTCTCCCCCATAGTCCCAGCCACACTGCCACATGATCCCAGCCAGAGGGTGCCGGGGCTGAGCTGGGAAGGGAGGACAAAATGGCCAGGGTTTGCCTGCTCCCTGCCTGTCACTCCAGTGTGGGCAGTACAGGGCCTCTCCTTCCTGTGGGATGGCACTGCTGCTTCCCACCACCTCAACGGCACCACTGGGGTGAAGCATCTTGCCACCCACGTGGTGCAGGGGGACACGTGCTGCGGGTGCCAAGGTCTTGCTCCATTTCAGCCACGATCCCATGTTGCTTGCTGCGAGCATGGGATCCAGGAACAGCTCTTTGGACCTGACACTGGCAGGAGGCATTAGTAAATGTAGTGGGTAACATTTGCCAGGTGAACCAGTGGATGCCCGTGCATCAGGCAGGGTTGGTGCTGCTGGGAAGGCTCTGGCCAGAGCTGCCTTGCCACATTTCTGCCCCAGAGTTTGCCTATTAATAGCTAGTATTTGGTCCCAGCACTTCTCTCAACACCAGCCATTATATCCACACAATTGTGCGGCCGGAGCCAAGTCGTTAACAATGCGTCACCGCCTCCGCAGCAAATAGTCCCTTCTCGGCGTGCAAACACTCCGCAGGGCTGAGGAACACCGGGCAGAGGTAGCGGAGGAAGGCTGAAGGCAGCCCGGCACACTGGAGAGCCAAGGAGGGCCTGCCGTGAGTGCGTCATGAGTGTGCCGGGGCTCACCACAGTAGGGATTGGGGGGGCTGTGGGACCCACCAGGGCAGGTTGGTTCAGGGATAACATCTTGGTAAGATGCTGCTAAAGCCATGGCACCCGTGGGGTCAGGCTGTGGCTGCGCCCACATGAGCTCACCCACGTCCAAAGCAGACGGTGAATCCTGTTCTTCCCCGTGGGCTCCTGGGGATCCGCCACTTCGGCCACCAGTGAATCAGGGGCTGGTTTAATTTACACAGGGCTATTTGGCAGGAGGATCTAGGCCACCCATTTGGGTGCCATAATATTGGGCTCAGGCTGGATGGGGCTGGGGTGCTGGTGTCACACATAGCAGTGAGGGGAGGCTGGGAACTACACTCAGCAGAATTAAATTTAAAAAAGGGTTTTGGAGAAAGGGCCCACAGTGCTGGTAGTACCAGTGGTGCCGGATGCCAGAGGTGCCAGTGATGCTGTGGTGCTGATGGTGCCCTTGCTACCATGCCAAGCTGCTTAGGGTGGGGGCTGAGGCAGCCAAGGTGCTACTGAGGGGGAGATAAGAGGTGTTGGGGGCAGCACCTTCCTTGGGGTGTGGAGCCAGGGCCAACAGCGTCCTACAGCTGCACACCCCCTAATGCCTTCCCCGCTCTCGCCCTGCAGGACTCCATGTTCTCCCTGGCCCTGAAATGCCTTATTAGCCTCTCCACCGTCATCCTGCTGGGCCTCATCATTGCCTACCACACACGGGAGGTGCAGGTAGGTCCTGACATCATCAGTGCCAAGTGAGGGGCTGCTGGGGTGTGCTGAGGGATTTTCCAGTCACCTGGGTGGGACACAATACCTTGACCTCACTACCTGCGTGGAGGCTCCTCCCTCCTTGCCAGGGCCTTGGGGGGCAGTGAGGCATCTCAGGGGGCAGTCAGGCCAAGCACTGAGGGGTCTGTCTGGGCCTCAGGTGCCTGGTGGATCTGCTAGTGGCTGGGGGAAGCTGTGGCCAGGAAGGGCTTGGACCAGCTGAGGTGCCAAGGAAAGCTGTGAAATCCTTACCTAATCAGGGCTGCACATTCTCTTCCTCCTTGGGAAGTTAAAGGGCTCCCAGTTTGTGGCAGGAAGGCTGCACTTCCCCGTGGGAACCAGCTTCGGCACAATGCCGTCCTGTTTTGGGCATGGGAGGAATGAATCACCAGTCAGGAGAAGGAGCATCCTGGGAAGGGATGTCAAAGTTCCCAGTCCTGAGTGCACCATAATCCCAACTTGTCCCTCTCAGGGCTGGGGGCCAGTGTGGTTTTGCCAGCACCCTGGTTCCTGCAGCCCCCACTCCAGCTCAGCCCGCCCGCCTGGGGACCAATCCTGGGGGTGGGCTGCTCAAAGCAAGTACTTGGGAGCTGTGGTTTTTGCTGGAATAATATTTACCCTGGGGTGCCGGCGGTCAGGGTCAGCCAGGCGAACTGTGCCCTGGTGCTTGTGACTTCCTCTGCTTGTTGTTCCTGGCAGCAGGTTGTGCAAACAGAGCGTCCACCCCCACGGCCCTCGGGTCATCCCACCTCTCCCGCCTTGACCAGAGCCAAAATCCCACCACTGTCCTTCCCCACGCAGAGACTGAACCTCACTAAAGTCCTGGCTGCTCTGGCAGGCCAGTTACACTGGCAAGGAGGGAAATGAGATTGGTGTGACTTGATCTGCTCCAGACAGAGATGTGCTGGCTGCTGATCACCCTGTTACCTCCTAAGTGTTGTAAAGGCACTGCTGATAATCCAGCTGGAGTGGAGTGGAGCTGCCAGAGCTGTAAATCCTCAGCTTCTTGTCCCTCTCACCCAAGGAGGGGGCTGTTCTCACCCAGCCACGGCACTGGCAGACCTCCCAGCCTCTGGAAACAATGACTTCAGTCTCTTCCCTCTTCCTCTCTTGCCCAGAGCAGCTGTGGCTGCCCCATCCCTGAAAGTGTCCAAGGCCAGGTTGGAGCAACCTGGTCTAGTGGAAGGTGTCCCTGCTCGTGGCAGGGGCTTGGAATGAAGTGAGCTCTAAGGTCTCTTCCAGCCAAAGCCGGTCTGTGATTGTATGACCCTACTAATTGTGTTAATTAGTCCTTTGGGATACTTGAAGATCTTCCCGTGCCTCAGTTTCTCTGGGGCTGGGGCACCCCAGCAACGTCTCTGGTGCTGGGTGGAGGTGTGGAATGTGCCATCCCTTGCCAGTATGCTATTATCACCACAACACATGAAGGTGCTGGCGAGGTTGCCAGCTCCAGCCAGGGTGTCTGGGGAGACAGAGCCCCCCTTGTCCCTGTGCTTGGAGTGCCTGGGGCTGTTTGTGCATTTGGGTGAAGCTTTTGTCCCCATGCTGCATCTTGGTGGTTTCCTGGGCTTCACTTGTCTGGAGATGCAGTGGTTGACACACTTGTTCCTTCCCCTGCTAGAGCCAGTGATGCTGGGGATGCCCCCTTGAGTACCACTGGACCACACCAGGTTTCCATGGGAACCCACAACGATGCCTCACAGATACAGAGCTGAGAGGGGTTGGATCAGGGGAAACCTGCCCGGATCCCCCCTTGCTCCTTCCCTTACCTGAGCTGGACTATGGCAAACCCCCACCATGCAGTCAAAAGGCCTTTTTCCTCTTGCTGATTTGTTTATTTTAACACCCTTTTCCAGGAAGGAATGGGCTGTCAGCTTGCTAAATGCCTGAGGATCTCCCTTGACAGCTTGGAGCATTTTTATAAACATTTTCTCAAACAAAGCAGCTAAAAAGAGCAGAGCTTTCCCTACAGAAAGGGAGGTGGCCGGGGTGGCCATTCCATGAGTCAGTCCCTGTGGCTCCTGCCATTCCCAGGGAGAGCCCCAGGGGCTGTGCCCTGCCAGCAGGGCGCCTGGCACAGGTGCACTGGGGCCTCTGGGAGGGCAGGAGGATTGTCCCTGGGCTCAGTGCCAGCCATGGCCGTGCTCCCCACCCACCTCCCACCTCCCTACCCACCTCCCACCCCCTGCCCTGGCTGGAGGGACTGCGATAGGTCCTGGACCCCTGGGCACACTTTGTGCTGGAAGGGTCAAGGACATGGACAGCAGCACCAGCTGCCACATCCCCTTTGATCCCTTCCTGGTGGCATCTTTGCCAAGTGCTGCTTGCAGAGGGGCCCTGAGAACGTCCCTGCTGCCGTGGGTGACAGCAGTGTCCCCAATGCACCAGGAGAAGCCGATGGCAGCCTCAGAACAGACCTACCAAGGCAGGACAGTGTGGATGACTTCCAGAGCCCTGGTGGCATTCCAGAGAGGCCAGCCCGAGCTGCCAACCCCCCCAGCTCCTGCAGAGACCCTGACTCCATCACTGATGGTGGGAGAGGAGCTGGTGTACCCAGGATGAACCGTCTGTTGCCATGACAACTGGATCCCATCTCTGCCAGCAGCTGGATGCTGTGACTGTGGTGTTCCCTCCCCAAAAATTGCCCTGAAATTCAGGGTGTGGTGGCTGTCAGTGACACCAGTGCAGCACCAGCGGGAGCAGAGGGGCTGGGGTGGCTCGTGCTGGTGCTCTGTGGCCCCACAGCTCGCCCGTTCTGTGGCCTGGGTGAGGGGGCCATTCTGGGAGGTGGGCTCCTGCCAGCTGGTGTTTGAGTGAGCTGTCCCCGGGGCACGTTCTCGAGGCCAGGCACCTTAAAGCTTTCTGGGGTGTCCCCAGCACTGCAACTATCCCTGGAACACACTGGCAGATCAGCAGAGAGGCCAGTGGTGGCTCATTCCCACCCTTTCCTACCCTGTCCATCCCCAGTTCTCCTGGCCGTGCCACACCCAGCTCCTTTTTGGCCCTGGTATCACATCCCCGCTGCCTGTAGTGGGAGGCCAGTGGGGCAGGTTGATTGGGGCCATCAGTAACCGTGTGGTTTTGATCTCGGTAGCTCTTTGTGATCGACAACGGAGCCGACGACTGGCGGATAGCGATGACCTACGAGCGCATCCTCTACATCAGCCTGGAGATGCTGGTTTGTGCCATACACCCCATCCCTGGGGAGTACAAATTTTTCTGGACAGCCCGCCTGGCTTTCTCCTACACACCCTCTCGGGCAGAGGCGGACGTGGACATCATCCTGTCCATCCCCATGTTCCTGCGCCTCTACCTGATCGCTCGGGTGATGCTGCTGCACAGCAAGCTCTTCACCGACGCCTCCTCACGCAGCATCGGGGCCCTCAACAAGATCAACTTCAACACCCGCTTCGTCATGAAGACGCTCATGACCATCTGCCCCGGGACGGTGCTGCTGGTCTTCAGCATTTCCCTTTGGATCATCGCTGCGTGGACAGTCCGCGTGTGCGAGAGGTGAGAGGGGGCTGGGGCGCGTGGCGGTTCAGGATGGGTGGTGGTTCTGGAGATGTGACAGTTCCGGATGCTCGGTTGTTCAGGAGGCTCAAGAGTTCAAAAGGCTTGGTGGTTTGGGGTGCTCAGTGTTTAGGAGGCACGTCAGTTCAGGATGCGTGGAGGTTTGGGATGCACGGCAGTTTGGAATGCTTGGCAGTTCGGGACACGTGGTACTTCACAATGAGCTGCAGTTTGGGAGGTGCAGCAGTTTGGGATGTGCAGCAGTTTGGGATGCTCAGTGCTTCAGGATGTGCAGCAGTTGAGGGTGATGTGCAGCAGCTCTGGACGCTCAGCAGTCCATGGCAGTTTGGGATGCATGGCAGTTTGGGATGCATGGCAGTTTGGGATACTCAGTGGAACTGCGATGTCCCAGACCCTGTGGGAGCGATGCAGGACTCTGGGGCCTCGGCAGCCACGGGCTCCCCCCACCAAGCCCTGTCCCCAGGGCAGGAGGCAGAGCAGGGTCAGCCCTGTCCTTGCAGCACAGTGCCTGGGCCAGGGGACAGTGTGAGGTGCCAGGAGCTCTGAGAGTGCAGGTGGGGGATGTGGAGAACAGCAGGACCTGGGGGCCTGTGTATGGGGAGAGGCCAGAGGTGCCGCTGGTAAGGGGAAGGGCCTGGCTCAGGCTCTGGCATCGCTGTGACTGCCATGAAAGAACCGTGGGGAAAAACCCACAGCCAGATGGCATCGTGCCAGCATTGGCATGCTTAGCGCTGGGGTTGCTGTGGTGACTGGCCTGGTGGGTACCGGTGCACCTCCAGCTCTCGGGGACCTGCCACCACTCTTTGCCCACCGAGGGAACCAGGGGGCTGTGGTGGTGGCATCCCCAGTGCTGTGCCAGAGGGTTTTCTCCATGGCCATGGTGCAAGGGGCCAGTAGCAGATGTTCATCCTAGGGCAGGGAGAGCAGGTCTCACATGGGGTGTCTTGTGTCCTGTTGTGGCAGCTTTGTGTCATCCTTGGAACTGGTATGCAAGGAATTACACCCCAACTGGCATTTACACAGCTACCCAGGGTCACTTCTAGGTGCTTGCAAGATGAGAGGAAGGCCACTCCTCCTCTTCCCCAGGGTGGGACCTGCTGCTCTGGTCACCCACAAAGGGGCATTAGGGCAGATGTAAGTGCTGTGGCAGAGGTGTGGGATGGCACACAGATTTTCAAGCTTTTACAGGCCGTGTTTTCCTTCCTGTCTCCCTTAATGATGCTTTCCTTTCGGGCTGAATCCTTAGGTGCTGCTTAACTGTGTTTGGGAGATGGTTGTTAGTGACTCCTAAACAGGGCACAGGCAGACAGGTATCTGGGACACACACAAGAGGGGTGATCTCACACCTGGTGAGGCTTAGGCTGGAAAACACAATATAAATAAAGAACCATTAGAGGGAAAAAAAAAATCCCAGAAATGACACAGACGAGGCGCTGCAGATCACCAGCACCACAGTTGGCATCACCTCCCTCTGTCCGTAGAGCGGCAGAAGCGAACCCAGGTGGTCTGGAGGTGCATCAGCCCTAGGGGATGCAGGACTGGGGGGATGCAGAGCCCTGGAACGTGCTCTGTGCAAGAGGGACACACACGGGGCATGCACCAGCCCTGGGTGTCACACAGCTCCCGCAAGGGCCAGCCAGAACGTGTCCCCCTGTCCCCACTGACGGCAGGTTGCTACATCGGCACTGGAAACCACTTCTTCTGTGCCTTGCAGGACCATTCCCAGCCGGCACCCACCGCGGGGCCAGGCAGCTCAGAGGCGGGTGTGTCGCTCCAAGACACGGTCCCCGGGGCTGGGGGCGGCACGGCCACGGCCCGTCCCCTCGGCACCGTGGGCCGCTCCAGCGCCTGCGGGCGCAGCATCCCCCCGTGCGCACCGGGGGGCCGCAGCTCTCCGAAGGCAGCGAGTCGCTTAGCAACCTCGCCCGCTCGCCTGGCCACCGAGCGCAGCCGCCCGCGGTGCCTGCGCTGCCGCCAGCGCTGTCGGGGCTGCCCGCCGACGGCGCGCACGTGGGCCCGCACGTGTGCCCGTTCGTGCCGCCAGCCCACCCCGGGCACCCCCGGGCACCCACCGGGGCACCCACCGGGCACCCACCGGGGCACCCACCGGGGCACCCCCGGGCACCCACCGGGGCTGGCGCTGCCCAAAGCCGTGGGGTTGTTTCAGCCGAGGTTGGTGCTGCCCAAAGCCCGGCGGCACGGTGCGGGCGTGGGGCGATGCTCGTGTCACCCACAGCGACGGGGTGGCTGTGGCCTCGAGGGGGGCGGGACGGCGGTCGAGGGGACGGTGGGAAGCAGTGCTGGGGTCTGGCTGACTGCAGCAGTCTTTGGGCATGAGCAGGTGGCCGCTTTTCCTGCTCACCCCAGCTGTGGGGAGTGCCAGCCTCTCTGGTTTATCAGCTCATTCTGCCCTGAGCGCTGGTCAGAGGAGAAAATGTCCATCTGTCTGGCTGGGCTGTAACCTCCATGTTCAGCCTGGGGCTCTCGGAGTTGTCCCCAAAACATTCCATACTTTGTGATGAGCTGGGCTCAGCCCTTCCCAGGGAAATACACTGACTGGGATAGGGGGTACCTGCCACTGCTGGTACTGCGATTTTGGGGATCCACACAGTGCTTGTGGGCTGCAGCTCCCCTGGCCAGCTGCTCAGAGCAACTCTCACTGTGGCTGAGGGTGCTTTTTCCTGCACCAGGATCTCACTTGAGTCTCCAGTTACTGGAGGGAAGAACATTTTGGAACAGGAGAAAACCCAACTGCTCTGGGAGCAATGAGCGGGGAGCCAGGATTGCCAAAAGCTCCATCTGTTTTCGCTCTCATGATTCCATGAAGAGGCTGGGAGAAACCTTGCTAGGGAGGCAGAAGGACAACCGTCCTGTCCCTGGGGGGATGAAGGTGCTGCCCAGGGCACAGGGCCACGTCATGGTGCAGACTGGGCCAGGCCCCTCTCTGCTGCCACAAGTCAATGCTGCATCCCCCGGGAAGCATCACTTGCACGGCTTGGCCAGGTTTGCACCAGCCCTGGGGAGCAGGAGGTGTCTGGGGCCCCGTGTTTGCTGGAGGAGCTGCAGCCGACGGCCAGGACGGCCAGAGCTCACAGCTCAGCAGGGACACGACCTGGAAAGTTTGCAGCACATCCCTGAAGCTGCAGCCACTCCACGTGTGCTGCATCTTGGGTGTGTGAGCCATTCCCCTGCACCATCTGAGAGCCATGGATGCCGGAGGCTGGGCAGGATCCGTCCCTGGCGGTTCTGCTGGCGCTGCTGATGGCAGTCCCCTGGGGCAGCACAGCCCAGGCTGCAGCAGCACGGGATGCAGGGGAGGATGCCAGCGGTGGGGCTGCTGCAGTCAAGGAATTTGCAGAGCCACAGCTGTTTCTCCCATCAGCCAGTTCTCAGCACAGCACCACATGACCCTGGGGACACAGGGAGTGGGACGGGGATGTGGTGACAGGTGTGATTGAAAGCAGAAGCCTTTGCCATTGATTTTTTGCTCTGATTTTGTCCATGAGGGTTTTTCTGCACCAGAAGTTGTGCAACCACTGCTGCTGTGGGACATCCTGCTGTGTTGTTAATCCTAAACCCCAGCACAGCCTGCGCCAGGGGAGCCACTGTGCCCAGGCACCCCTGTTTCTCCCACATCCATCCCTGTCCCCTGCTGTGACACTCATGTCTGTGTCTTGTTGGCAGGTACCACGACCAGCAGGATGTAACCAGCAACTTCCTGGGTGCCATGTGGCTCATCTCCATCACCTTCCTGTCCATCGGCTACGGTGACATGGTCCCGCACACCTACTGTGGGAAGGGGGTCTGCCTCCTCACTGGCATCATGGTAAGGGCTGTGCCAAGCCAGCTGCCCCTCCCACGAGCTCTGCCTGTCCCCATTGCAGCAGCGGGGCCACTGGATTCTGAGGGGACCCATTTCCCAGCTCTTTTGTCCGTGTTCAAGGTGTGAGGCTTCAGGTCTGAGGTCTCACAACCTGGAAGCTGATGGAGCTGTCCCAGCTGGTGAATTTGGGGTGGATTTGGACCTGCATTCAGTGAGTGTGGAGGGACCCACCCACAGCAGGGCCAGTGACGTGCCCAGGGAGAAGAGGGGCTCCTGAGCATCTATTGGCCATCCTGGTGCACACCAACTGTCTTCTGTCACTCAGAGTGATTCCAAAGGCTGTTGGCTCCTGCTAAGAGCTGGAACCAGCTGGAAGCCCTTCACCCTCTGCCAGCATCACTGCTCTGCCATGGCTTCCCTTCCTTCTGGTCAGAAAGTCACCATCTGCCAGGGCCTCTGGCATACCTGCTCCAAGGTGCCCATGAGATCTCCCAGCTCATGGGACTTGCCAGCCAGGGCTGCCAAAGGAGTGGCCAGGGGCCTGGTGGTCATGGCTCCTCCAGAGGTTTATCCCAGCACCCTGGCTCTGCCCACCTTAGTTCCAGACCCTGGGGATGGAGCCATCCCTGTTCCCAGCTAAGGGCAGCCCCATGAGAGCCTTCAGCCAGGGCGGCTCCACCACTGGGGATTAATTTTATATTATCTACAAGTCTTTGATCCACCTCAGATGAGGCTGGTGCTATTGGTGGGAGCCAAGCAAGAGAGAACAGCTCCCTGTGGGTGGGGACCATGCAGCGATTCCCAGCAGGGGAGCAGCCACTTGCTCGGCTGAGGGGGTCTCTGTGCCACAGCTCCCAAAACTCTTCCCCAGCCAGTGGTTACTTTGAAGTGGGACACCATCTGGCAAAGTGTCCTCCACCCCCAGCACAGCCCCCCCACCCCCTGGGAATGGGGATCCTGTGCCCACTGGGGCTGGGGGCTCTACTGGGCTTCCCAAGCCACCACACCAGGGGTGGTGGCCCCACCAGGAAGAGAGAAGTGGTATGAGCTGAGAGAGTACTGTGGGACCTTTGAGGATGCTGAAGGATTCAGCTCAGGGCATCCTGTTAATTAATGACTCTATTAAATTAGGCAATGCTTGCCAGGCTGGCGTGGCTCTGCCAGAGCGCTGGGGGGGCGGCTCAGCCAGTGTGTGCAGCAGAGCTCAGGAGCACGGCAGGGAGGCTCTGCAAGGAGCACCTTGGCTTTCCAGAGACAACATGTGCTGGAGCTGGTGGCTGCTGCTCAGATCTGGCCCCAATAGGCAGGACGAGCCAGCTCCCAGCTGGTGCTGTTGGAAGCCATGGTGATTTGAGGGGTCCTGATTTGGGCTTCTCACTCAGGCTGCCTGGTGCTTCCCCACCCCAGAGCCCTCTGTGGTGTGGGAGGGCTCCCCATCCTCCAGGGCACCAGCACGGGGCAGATCCCTGGCCTGTGGTGGCACAGGCTCACCACTGACCTTGTCAACAGCTTGGCCTCTCCCGTTAATTACCCAGTCCCCCGTCAGCCCTTCAAGGACACCCAGGCTCTGTGATATCTCCTTGTTGAGATAATGGGAAGGGCTTTAGTTAATTAGGGGATTGCAAGGTTGAGGGTGTAAGTGCTGCTGTTACAAGAGGGTGACAAACCATTTCCCCAACTGATGTCCCTGCACAGGGTGCTGGCTGCACGGCACTGGTGGTGGCTGTGGTGGCCAGGAAGCTGGAGCTCACCAAAGCTGAGAAGCACGTCCACAACTTCATGATGGACACACAGCTGACGAAGCGGGTAAGGTGCCATGGGGGGCAGCAGGAGCAGGGGGCCGTGTCATGTGCCAGGAGCTGGGGATTTGGGATACCATGGTAGGAGAAAGGTGACAGCACCTCTGGATGTGGGTCCTGTGGGTAGCACAGTGGAAGAAGTTGTCCAAGTGCCGTGGATGCAGCTCAGGCACAAGAGTTACACTGAAAGCAAACACCACCAGCTCTGTTCTGGGGATTTAGGCAATACAGGATGCTCAGTCACACCCCAGAAAGGAAAAGCCTGGGTTTTTTTCCCTCTGGGAGGATACAGACTCCCTCCATTTGCAGAGCATGATCTCACTTCTCTTGGTGTCATGAGGATTTTGGTAATTCAGTGCTCACCGCAGACAAGAGCCACCCTGTGAGGCTCCTGCCGTTTCCATTCCCAAGGAGGGACCAAGAGCCTGCAGTGGGGGATCTAAGGGGTTGCTGTCATGCCAGGTGTGGTGTCACATCCCTGGTAACATGTGGGGGCTGCAGGAGGTCTCTGGTCTCAGCAGCCTCATCATGGCAGAACGCTGGCAGACCAACAGTGGCAGGTGATGTAATGAGAACGGAGCCCCCGTCAGATCCACCCCAGCCAGAGCCCTGACACCCCAGGGACAGTCAGGACCTCGGTGTGACCGAGCCGGAAAAGCAAACAGCTGGTCAGCCCCCTCCTCTGGCCGTGGATATGGATCTGTGGGCTCCAGGCCAGGAGACGGCAGCCAATTCCTCCCGGAGCGAGAGCAGCAGGGATGCGGTTCAGCTGGGGAGCCTGCGGAAGTCACGGCCTGACCAGGACTGCCAAGAGTGGCAGATGGATGCAGGAATCAAGAAAAACCTTGGGATTTTTGCTTCTTCTTGAACCTTAGGGTACAATTTCACACACAGACGAGGAGCCTGGTGCCGAAGCATCGGTGCAGAGTAGGACAATGGTGTGGGTGCCAAGGGCTCCGCCTGCCCTTGCTCTTGCTTGAGCTGCCCATCACCCCTCGAGGGGCTGAGCGCCTCGCTCCAGCTGGGACCACTCAAGTGCTCTTGCAACACCAGTTCATGGCAGAGCCAGACCAGTGTCTCTGTGAAATCCCACATGCTGGGGCCTGGTGACCTGCAGCCGGCTCTTGTTTTGCAGATCAAGAACGCGGCAGCCAACGTCCTGCGGGAAACGTGGCTCATCTACAAGCACACCAAGCTGCTGAAGAAGATCGACCATGCCAAAGTCAGGAAGCACCAGAGGAAGTTCCTACAAGCCATTCACCAGTAAGGGGCTGCGCACTGGGCTGGGGACATTGCTGAGCCCCAGATGAACTGGGGTCCAGTCCCTGGCAGGGGTGTGGGGACAGTTTTCCATTGCCTGGGATGCACTTTGAAACTGGGTAGGTGTGCAACCATGTTGCTCTTTCCTTCTCCCCAGGTTGCGGAGCGTGAAGATGGAGCAGAGGAAGCTGAGTGACCAAGCCAACACCCTTGTTGACCTCTCAAAGGCAAGTCTCCTGTGGCTCAGCCAGACTACCCGAGTGTTTCTCTTCACTCAGAAAAACTAAAGCAGACCTGGCTGACCACAAAATGCTCCAGCTCAGTTGGTGTCAGCCAGGAATAGCTGCTGTGGGATGGCTGCCCTTGCAAAGCAGGAGGAGAAACTCATACATGAGCCAGGGGCTCCCTGGACTTGCTTTTGCAAAGGTGCCACTGCTCAGCAACACGGGGCTGGCAAAGTTTCCTTGCTGTGATGTCCAGGGATGAGCCAAACCATCATCACAGAAGTCTGGGAACTCTCAGGGCCAAAGGGGTCAGCTCTGCCAGCAACAGCAGCAGCACTAACCCCTCCAGCCATGGTACTAACCCCTCTGCTATCCCCTGTGTCTCCTCCCCAGATGCAGAACGTGATGTACGACCTCATCACCGAGCTCAACGACCGCAGCGAGGACCTGGAGAAGCAGATCAGCGGCCTGGAATCCAAGCTGGAGCAGCTCAGTGCCAGTTTCAACTCCCTGCCGCTGCTGATGGCTGACATGCTGCGGCAGCAGCAGCAGCGCCTGCTCACAGCCATCCTGGAGGCGCGGGGAGTCGGAGTGCCAGGGGGCACCCCCCAAACGCCTCTCTCCGAGAGCCCCATCGGTGTCAGCTCCACCTCCTTCCCCACCCCTTACACGAGCTCAAGCAGCTGCTAAAATGCAGCCCCTCAGCCCCCCGTGGACAGGGGAAGCAATTTCCGTACAGGTCACGAGGTCTCCGTGAACTTCCTTCTGGTCCTTGAACCGCTGCAGGGCCCTTCAGCTGGAGCCGGTGGGACCGGCAGTGCCGAGCAACGCTTGGAGCTTTGCCAACGCCTTGGTATCGGGAATCGCATCCCTGTTCAGGTGCCTCTACACGTGGTGAAGGAAAGGGGACGGGAGGTGACGCCTCGGGCCGGCCCATGCTGTGGCGTCTGGTGGCGGACAGAAAACCCACGCTCAATCTCAGGTCTTCACATTTGAAAACAAAACAGAACATCAAGTCAGAAGCACTGAAGCAACGGAGACACCAGAGGGAGAGTTTTTCTCTGCAGGGCACTCCCCTCTCACCATCGCCAAGCCCCACCAGGCAGATGCCAACGTGAGGGCTCCTTACGCAGGCTCTGGCTGACGCTGCCCATGCTCCATCCCATATCCTTGCCAGGACCCACAAGAACCCCCCCCCTCACATTGCCAGCTGGGTGACAGTTCCTGGCTGTAACCGGCCCGTGGGGGGGTTCTCTGGAGCTGTGAGTGTTTTCTGTCTGGGGAAGAACAAGGGACCCTTCTTTCTGGTCCTCAGTGTCATACCCTGCCTGTGCCAGAGCCGGGACAGCAGTGCCTACAGCGTGCAGGGCCGCACGGGGCTGCCCCTGGCCAGTGATGGGGCTGGCGGGCCAGCCCTGGCACCAGAGGGTCTCCAGGTGCCCACATCACCCCCTTCTGGGGACCCCCCAGCACCTTGAGAAGCCAGTGGGCTCTTTGAGGCAGCCTCAGAAGTGCTGGATGGAACACTCCATCAGCACCGGCCATCTCCACTTGTACCAGGAACATCCACACTCAAGCCCAGCTGTCAGTGTCGAATCCACCGGGGCCAAGCGGGAGCTCACTGGCAAGTGATGCGGTAGCTGGGGTGGGTGCTTCATCTGTTTAAAACAAAGCCCATCGGCTTCATGCCACTTCTGCTGGGTTTGGTGGGGAGCAGCAGCACCCTCTGGAACCGTCTTGGCAATGGCACTGCCACCCATGCCTGCCAAAGTGCAGCCCCTCAGCCTCCCTTTTACTTTTTTGCTGGTGTTCAGCTTCCTGAGGTACCCTGGGCATCATTTGGCTGCTTCTGGAACCAGCTACTTTCAGTTCTGCTTTCACCATTTCCCCTTTTTTCCTCCTCAGTTCTGCCCCAGGTTTCCTGGGTCCGTGCATAGAGCTGTGCAGGGCTCTGACTCTGGAGCTGGTGTTTGCTGCTTTCCATGAAAACTCAGCAGAGAATATTTATATATTTTTAAACAGATGAAGGAACCGTGTAATTACTCTGTGCTATTAATTACACCTCACCCAGCAGTGTCAGTAATTGTAATCAAAGTCACTGTGTTACTCCAGGTATACTCAGCCTGTAACGTTGTCCTCTGTAATTTTTTCCCTTCCATAAATAACGCTGGATTTTGTGCACACGCAGGGGCAGAGGCAACACCGCCCTCCCACACCACCACCTCCCCACAGCCAATGCCGAGGAAATTCTTTGCTGCCGGTGGTGTGAGGTGGTTACGCTCCTTGTACCGTGCAATTAGAGTGGCATAGAAAACAAGCAGTAGTTAGTGAGGAGGGCTGCCAGCCTGCTGGCCCCAGGAGGAGGAGGAGGAGGAGGAGGAGGAGGAGGAGGAGGAGGAAGGCTGCAAGGCAACAGCAGGAGTTCTGTGCAATTAGCTCCCAGTGCTGCAGAGGTGTTGGTAGCAGGGGAGCAAGTACGGTCATCCCCATCGCCTTCACGTGGCCATCGCTCCTGGTCCTTGGCTAGGGGGAGATGCTCGGCTTCTGGGAACGAGCTGCCCTTTCAAGCTCTTGTAATTAGTGTCACTGATCTCCCAGGATGGTAGGGAGTGCCTTGGCAGCCCCCCAAGGTCTATTTTTAGCCCAGCTGCTGCTCCCCGTGTGCCTACGGGTGCCCCCCAGTCCACCTTGTCCAGCAGAAGCTCCTGCCCATCTCTGTGGGGAGGTTTCCAGAGTAACAATGGAGAAAACCTTACAAATTCTGCAAAAGAGCATGAAATGCAGCATTTTCCCTGGCCTGCAGGCAGCCAGGGGAGAAAAATTCTTCCTGGGCCTCAGATAGAAGCAAAGTGCCCATGGAATGTGGCTGTGCATGGGGTGAGGTGCAGAAACCTGTCCTGGAGTGTCGGAGAGCCAGAGGAAGTATAGATGCTCGAAGATCAATGTTGCCAGCAGGAACCCAGGAACCTCCCTAGAGCCTCGTGATCAAGTCTGGGAAAACCAACAGAGTGAGATCAGAGGCCTGCTGTCATATCACAGTCCTTGAGGTGCTGGAGGGGGCAAGGACTGTGGCGAGGGTTGGGATCACAACTGGAGCAAGAGACCCTTGTCCGGGGGCAGAGCTGCTGCTGTTGCAGGATTTCGACAGGCCTGGGGTGGTGGATCCCTGCACATCCCACACCCTGCATCCCCCTGGCCTCATGTCAGCACAACCTGCACCCCAACAATCCTTCTGCCCGGGGCCTGGCAGCCCTGGGTCTGCACCCTGTGCCCTGCACCTTGCATCCTGCACCCTGCCCACCCCTGCACCCCATCCCATCCACCCCTGAACTCCCATCCCAACCCCCAGAGACCCCAAACCCCCCTTGCAGCCCATGCACCCTGCAGGCCCCACCCTGCACTCCCGTATTTCCCCCACAGCCCTGCCGGTGCCTCAACACTGGTGCTGGTAGCCCTGACCCATTGCCCTTGGCACTGGATTCCACCAAGGCCAACACTGAGATTAACCCCCCTCCAGCCCTGCTGCCAGGACTGCAGAACTTCCCCAAGGCCACGGGGAGGGCAGGCACAGAAGGAAGCCATCAGTGCCATCCAACCCGGGGTGCCCACCCAGAGCCACCCCCGCTCCCTGCCAGCAGCTCTCAGTCACCAGCAGCCTCAGCTGGCAGGGCTCCAGCGTCTGGCTCCAGTAAATGCTCCCCAGCTGGTGCTGTCTGCACACCTGAGATCATCCCTTTGGATGCCCCAAACAGAGAGAAGAGCTGGGATCAGCGACCAAGGTGGAGGAAAAGCACAAGAGCAAAACCGCAAGTTCCGATCACAAAGAGGTGCCGCCGTCCCGCAGCTGGGAAGCATCCGAGCCCATTCTCCAGAAGAGGCCAATCCCCGACGCCCCTCCAGGACCCACCTAACCCAGCCAGTCCCGTTTTTGGCACAGCCTTGGGGTTTTTTTTTTAGCTCCACGACTCTCCTTCCTGCGCTGCCTGCAAGGAAACGTCCTAGAGATACCAGAAAAATTCCACATCCCCTCTGCAAACTCATGGACGGTTCTGTCCAGACTTGAGGAGCTTTGACCTGGGTTTGCAACTTGCCTCTGTACTGCTCGCTTCTTTTTTAATGATAGGGGAAAGCATAATAGTTTATTTTAACTATGAAATATATTGCTATATTATAATGGTTATGGTAACTTTCAATTATGCTTTTGTACCCACCACAGTTGTCGGCAGGCAGCGACGCCAGGCTGCTGCCAAAAATGTCTGTTTCTGAGTACAGCTGCTGCTGCCAGTGAGGATGGAGGACAAGGGGCAGGGAGGGGCACGGAACCCCAGTGGTTATCCTTCATCCCCCAGGTGTTTATTCCTGCTGCCCAGAAGCTGACCTCTAGCGGGTCTGGATCCGTGTAGCCCACTGGCACCAGAGCTTTGCTTCTCCCTAGGGAAAGGTCTGATCCCCTTTTCTCCCTGGAAAGCCATCCCCACCAGGTTGTCTCCTCCAGCTGAAGGAGTGACTTGGCTCCCTGGGGAGCTATGCAAGAGTCAAACCTCCCCCCTTTCCTGCAGGATGGAGGCTCTTGAGGAAGCAGTGGTGCAAAGCATGCTGCTTCCCTCCTCTAGCCAGGCTCTTGGCACATTTCCATAGAATCATGGAATTGTTAAGGTCGGAAAAGTCCCCTAAGATCATTGAATCCAACTGTTAACCCAGCACTGCCAAGGCCACCACTAACACATGTCCCCAAGTGCCACATCCACACATCTTCTAATTCCCTCCAGGAATGGGGACTCCACCACTGCCATAGGTAGCCCATGCCAGGGCCTGACCACCCTTATGGGGAAGAAATTTTCCCAATATCCAACCTAAACCTGGTACAACTTAGTGCCATTTCCTCTTGTCCACTTGTTATGTGGAAGAGGAGACTGGGGCATGTCCAGTTCAGGCTTCACTGCCTGCCCTGGAGAGCTGCAGCTTTTGCTCAGCCTCAGGCTGTGATGGTATAGGAGGATAAAACCCTGAGCATGAAAGAGAAACACAATGAGGTCACAAGGGCTGCTCCATCTCAGCCTCCCAGCTGGGAACAGGCTGCCCTGAGCTGTGGCTGTCTCATCCCATAGAAGTGTTCAAGTCCAGGCTGGGCAGGGCTTGGAGCAACCTGGTGTAGTGGAAGGTGTCCCTGCCCATGGCAGGGGCGTGGAACAAGATGAACTTTAACTTCCTTCCAATCCAAACCATTCTGTCATTCCATGATTCTGTGATTCTGTGGACTGCTCAAGCCTCAGAGAGCACCTCTTCCTTACCTCCAACCCCTGAGCTGCTGGACCTGATCCCCATTGGATCATAAGTCTTAAACTGTTCTTTGGCAGCCCCAACACCTCTTCCCGGCCAGTCTTCACGTGCATGACATGCCTGGGAATGAGCAGCACCTACAATTCCTGCTGCTTTGGTCCAGAGAAAGCCTAAAAGCCCCTACACTGGCCCTTCCCAATCAGAGCTGCAGTCACTGCCATGCTGTCACCGTCACCACTGTCACAGCTGTGCTGGCCTGACCCTCCCAGGCCAGTCAAACCCAGTAGGGCCCCAGCAGCAATGAGCTGCCTTGAGTTCTGAAGGTTCCTTGCTGGGTCCCAGAACTGAAATCTCCCCACAGAAACCAGCTCTGATGGAGGAGAGGGGCTGGTTCCTCTGAGAGGCCAGGGCTAAGCCTCCACTGCTGCCAGCTGGGTCTGGGGGTGCCAGGGCACTTCTGGAGTTCTTGGCCCTCTGCACCACTCTCCCTTGGGCTTCTCCTGCCCAGCACATCCCTGCCAGCTCAAAGCCCTGTGCCATGGCCACCAAGCATGTTTGCTGTGGGGGAGGAGATTCCTCAGGGGTCTGGGAAGGGGAAGATGCTGCTGCCAGGCTCTGCACTGGTCCCAGCTTCTCCTCGCTTGACTCCAAGCTGCCTCCTGAAATGTATCCAAAGGCCTGAAGGCTGTAGAGGGGCTTTTGCAGGAGAGAGAAAAAGCTTCTCCACGGCATTAGTTATTTTCCTGTGGGATGAGCCACCTCAGAGCCCTGTGGGGCACTAGGCAGGGCTCCAGCACCACCTGCCCGGTGGGTGCTCTTGGCCAGGGGCTCTGGTGTTCCAGGTGCTGCAAACTGTGCACCCAGCTCTGCTTCTTCTTCTGCCCAAAGTGTTCTTCCCCCTGCTGGGGTCTCGGCGCTGCCGATGTGCCTGCCAGCAGGAGCTGCTTGCGTGTCTCCGTGGTCAGGATCCGGCCCTGATCCAGCCCTCCTTCAGGGCCAGTCTCTTGGCTGGGAGACAGGAGTGGGGACTGGCCCATGTGACAACAGCCCGTCCCCATAGCGTTGCCATAAACCTGAGCTGTACCCAGAAACAGGCATGTTTTAAACTATGGCTTTAACCTGTTCACTGTAAAAAGTGCCTTGGACTTTAATCTGAAGAGGTCAGTATCTATAAGTATTTACCTGTGCGGGTGTGTAAGGATGCAGTTCTCTGTGCAGAGTTACACACACAAATATATGATCTATACACACCTGTGCCTCGGCCCCTCTGTTCCAACAGCCGTGGGAGCTCTTTTCTTTCGCTGCCAGGGCCGGGGGTGGAGCGAGATGGGAGGCGCTCCTGCCGCAGGGACCCCTTGCCCAAGGGAAACTCCGTGCTGCGAGGGTTGTGCTGGGGGCAGCACTTCCCCTCAGGGGAGCTGATCTGTCCTGTGCATCCCCGGCATGTTCTGTGCCTCTCCGTGTCTGTCTGCGCGCTTTGGGCAGACCCCGGGCAGGGGACACACCCCCATTCCCTCGCAGAGGGATGCTGGGACCGGGGGCACATCTCTGGACTGCCCGTGCCAGGAGCTGCTGGGCACTTGGTAAAACCACAGACGCTTGTTTTATGGGAGCAGCGAGGGGTTTTCCAGCCACCTGCTCCCAAAAGGGAGGTTTGGTTCCCGTGTGCTTGGGTTGTGGCTGAAGGGATGAGTGTTGAAGGTTGATGGTGTGGCAGGTGCTCTTTCCCCTGGCTCTGCATTGAGGCTCCCCTTGCTCATCCAGCTCTGCCAAAACATCAGAGCAATGCCCCTCACCTCTAAAGAAATGAGGATAAATGTTATCTGGGGTGCAAAGGGCACAAAATCAACTTTGCCAGAGGAAACGCATTGGCAGAGATAAAGGGGAAGCTGGATCCTTTCACACCAAGCACCACTAAATCCAGGCTCAGAGCCTGGCAATGCAGCACCACTGGCTGAGGGACTGGTGCCCCAAAATCCATCCCCATATGTGGGCCAGGAGGGTGCCAACAGGAACAACTCCCATGGCTAAGCACGGCTCTGAGTGTTGTGAAGCCAGCAGAGGAGAAGGAGGAGGAAGGTGGTGTGCAGTAGTTGAATCATGATGA